TCCCAGAAACAGAGCCATCTTGCCAGCCAGCTAAAATATTTTAATTAGCAACTCTGAGCAATAACTATTACCTAAATTTATTCTGTATGCATTTTTAAAATTAAGTCAAGGAACATTTCCCCTACCTGGCAATGTCACAGTACATCAGCGTCAAATATAGAAAAGTTAAATTAGCTTTTTTGAAGGAGGGCCAAAATCCCCATAAATGAGTCTTTGGTGCCCCCTTGTGGAACGTTTAGTGTGAGCTTTGAAATATTACCTTTTGCACAGAAACAGTAATGGGTTACTGCCATCCTTTAAGACATTTTAAGTGCTTTCTGTACATGTTACACTATTCCTAAGGCACATAAAATAAGGCCATGTGAATAATTTAATTCAAACTATAAACATAAGAGACCAAATGTTGAAAATGTTCAGTAAATTTTTATCATAAATTTATGACAATTTTGCTCTGTGAATCGTAAATTAAGCAAAGGTAATGGAAAACTTAGCTTTACACCGTGCTAGGTAAGTATCAAAACTGTTTCCTCAATAGCACTTCTACCCTTAAATTATTGCTAACAAATCCTTAAGACATTATTAAGTATTTAAATAACTGGAATAATTGTAAATGTCCATATTTGTGCCCATAGAAATGCTAGTATAAAATAATCAGGTAACTTTTAAAATGTTGTTTCTCTTTATATCACTTATCACAAGTTTCTGACCATTTATTTTCCAAACTAGGGAATGAAAAATAGGAAATTCCTGTCTTTCCTGGAGACAAGTAGAAGTCAAAAAGAAAAAAATATTCCAGGCGCCTGGGTGGCTCAGTTGGTTAAGCGACTGCCTTCGGCTCAGGTCATGATCCCGGAGTCCCGGGATTGAGTCCCGCATCGGGCTCCCTGCTCAGCAAGGAGCCTGCTTCTCCCTCTGACCCTCCCCCCTCTCATGTACTCTCTCTCTCTCTCTCATTCTCGCTCTCTCAAATATAAAAATAAATAAATCTTTAAAAAAAAAAAAAAAGAAAGAAAAGAAAAAAATATTCCTGCTCATTAGCTGACAAGGCTGTCAAGGGGGCAGACCACAGTGGGGAAAGGTAGATTCTTATCCTAAATCAGTAGAAGCTAAAGTGTTGATTTTCCCCAGATTTAACACTCCTTCTTCCCTTATGTCCTTATTAAGCAGTGGGAAAAAATACAAAAAGAAAGTGCCAAATTTAATCATCCCTCTTGTATTGGAATCTTCTTGGAAACGCAGAGCAGACCTATCAATAACTGGTAAATTTTTTCTTATTACTTTCACTCAATAATCAAAATCTGTAAGAAGGTAGTAATGACTGGAATGTGTTAATACTTATTTTCATGCCTTGTGTCTTTAGATTACAAAGACCTTGGGCCTGGAGCTAAGTCTTTCTCTGGAACTGAGCTCTCAGATAATAGTATATTCATGCAATTCATTTAGTTTTTCAAATTATAAAGTTGTGAGGAACTACGGAGCTAAGGAACGACTTTATAGCAGAACCGTTTTAAGTCAGAATTTTTTTCCTGACATACCAATAGATTTTCCCTTAATGGCAAAACAATCTTCCATTTAAGACATGGTAATTCGATGCATATTGAATTTATCAACAGGGATTCTGTGGAGTCTTGTCATGTACAAGTGGCAGGCTACCTCTGGTAGAATCTTGGTTCCCCGCTTGTTGTCTAAGTGATCTTAGATGATTTAACCTACTTCTTGGCTTCCCGATATATAAAAGGAATAAGATAATAACTGCCTTATAGAGTCAACGTGAGGAATAAATGAGTTAACACACGTAAGGGATTTAGGACAGTGTCTATACATAGTAAACACTCAATGTATGATTAGATGAATTTTTTTTTCAAGCAGACATTTTTTACAAGCAAGTTAGAAGCTGGCTTTATAGTTTCATTGAGCATAATGCTAACGATATCAAGATCATATATTCTAGCTCCACAAATGGTATCTTGTTTTATTCTATTCATATTTAGCCAAACACATAGCCATACAGATTAGTGTAACACTTAGAGTTTCAACACTTAGAGTGATCAACTCTCTTAATTTCTCTCATTTATAGACAGGAGAAATAGGCTCAGAATCAATAAGCTACTTGCATAAGGGCACAGCTAGTAAGTAGTTTAGAATACCCACTCCGGCTTTTTGACTCCTAGTCCAGTGCTCTTTCCATTACACTTTCACAAACTGTAAGAACAGTAACTAAAAGAAGGAGTAAACCAAACAAATCCACTGATTACATATGTGAAGCAATTTAAGAAATCATTTAGATCTCACTTTTTTGTGTCATGAAGCATTAATCACTAAGATCAAATATTATGAAATTAACATAGGATAGAGTTGTAAGTGTTTATTCGATAAAAATTACTAGTAGCACTAAAAAAATCGACTCATTCAAAAAATACTTATTGAGCCCCTTCTAGTTGCCTGGCACTGGGCAAGGTGCTAGGGATGCAACAGCATTTAAATCAAACATGATGTGGTCCAGGTCTTCACAGAGCTGAGAGGCTCACGGGGAAAGAAAATCAACAAACAATTTGAATAAAGTAAACTAAGTGCTGTGACAGGGGAAGCACAGGCTGCTACCGGAGCATAGAGCTGTTACTACAATACATAGTTGTTTACAATAATTTGGAGAACGCTGATTATTTTCTGGATAGCTAAAGCCTTTGTTTAATAAAGTTATTCTAGAAACTGTATGATTTTCTTCTAGTTAACCTACCTCTGAACCCCATCACAAATATAAAGCTTACCAATAAAAAGCTTATCTTTCAAATTCCTACTCTGATCTTTTTTCTTCAGAATTTTTATTATGAAATCATTAAAATATGTGGTACTGAGTCCTTATGCTATTTTACTCATAACTACTTGATCATGGTGCTCAAATCCCAATCAAAACCAGAAATATAAAAAATTTGAAACTCCATTGTTAACAGTATCTGCGGTAGACAAGAATACATGGAGATTGTTGATTTCTAAAACAAAACGTGGTAAAATCTACATTTTCAACAGTAGAGTAAGATAAAATATTACATTCGAATGGACTGAGTAGCTACAAGACCACAAAGGTGATCACACGGAGAGGGCAGTGTGACTGTACCACATAAGACAGATGCAAGGTGCTTCCTAATGGACAGGAGATAGGATTCCAGATTCTCGCATTGCAATACTGACAATTTCAAGTATAAGGAGGCAAAAAAAATGCTTATCCTTCCTTTTTCATTTTCTGTAATAGAATAATAAAAATCCATAGGATATTGGGAAATAAACATTTTAAATTATATAAAATAGAAAATCTTGCATTTCATTTTAAAAAAACATACCATGAAACTGGATCTGTGATTTTTACAACTTAAGAAGTCGCTTCTGGAATGGCATTTAGTCCAGACAGAAATCAAGAGCATAAAATAGCAAAAATGTTCATATGACAGAAGAGGATATGATTTGATCTGAGCCCCAGACAGAGAGGTCAAAGACAGGTAGTCAAACTAAATCAAAGTGTTGTCTTCATTAATGAAAAGAATCAAGACTGGGAATAAGTTTCCTAAACACAAAGAAATTTCAATTAACAATGTTTATTAAAAATGTTAATATGTATATTGACCCTGATGTGGAAGATACCTCAGGAAATTAAGTAGACACTGAGAACTAAACTTGATTAGAATCAACTGAATCAGAAAATTTGATATAAAATGTATAGACTGGGTAAATTATTAAAGACAACTGACAATTTACTTATATTTATATTTAGCCTCCAAAAATTCTTTGTGGAATTAGAAAGGATATAGATAAAATGTAGTATTTAGCAGCTAAAATTTTTAGTGAGTTAAACAATGAATTAAAATTTAGGGCAGATTTTTCCAGATATATTTATATCCAGGGCGCCTGGCTGGCTCAGTCGGTTGAGTGTCTGACCCTTGATTTCAATTCAGGTCATGATCTCAGGGTAGTAGGATGGAGCTCCATATCGAGCGCCACACAGAGTCTGCTTATCCCTCTCCCTCTGCGCCTAGCCCCACTCACCTGTCCCTGACTCTCTAAAATAAATAATCTTTTTAAAAAAAGATTTTATTTATTTGACAGAGAGAGACACAGCAAGAGCAGGAACACAAGCAGGGGGAGTGGGAGAGGGAGAAGCAGGCTTCCCGCGGAGCAGGGAGCCCGATACGGGACTCGATCCCAGGACCCTGGGATCATGACCTGAGCCGAAGGCAGACGCTTAATGACTGAGCCACCCAGGGACCAGGGACCAGGAAATTTTTTAAAAGATTAAAAAAACCAAATATATCTATACCTAATTCACACTTTAAAACTGTCTTATTAAAATACTGTGTACGAAGAGCTACATTTTAAATCTGTGTATATAGTGTGTACACAGACATATACCCACTCAGTTACCTAAAGACAAACAAATAAAATATGAAACCATCTTCAAATTTTCCCCTGGTCTTAGTACTTTGTTCAACAATAGAACTTACCTCTTTCTTGCTGCTATTCTATAAATGGAACATGCTACCTCCAACCATTTTTGGAAAGAGGTACATTATAAACGATTCAGTAAATTTTCTTATTTAAGAAACCCAGTCTAAAACTAACTGTTGAGAAAAGAAAAACCAACAACAGTCTTCTCTAACTAGTCCAAATTTATCACAATAGTGATACCCAAGCTGGATTAAACAAATGGAATTTGCGATTATAGTTCTGGAATTTTAAAAAACGCTTAAATGAAATGCAGGACTTATAAGGGTTTATTAACTGACTGAGACTCTCACTGTGAATTAACAACATATGTCTAACAACTTCGTTTTTATGTCTTCTTAGTAATCAATATTAAGTAAATTTTATTTAACTATAAGTCTGCTCACATATGACACTCACTAAATTAAAAGATTGAAATTATAGAGTAAATTCAACAGAACTTCTGAAAACATTTTATTTATATTTCATTTCAGTCAAATACTCATTTTCCAAATCTATAAGGCCATCTGTCTCAAGTTCAAAATTTGTAATATTACTTGGAAAACTATTTTTAAAAAGTGATCGAAGAACATTTCAACACAGAGTGATGAAATGCACAATTTTCAAAGGTTACATGAAACAGTTAAATACATATATATGACAACATTAAAAACTCTTTATTTAAAAACACTTATTAAAATGGGAAAATGTGACACAGTAAAATAAAATTTTTTCAAACTCATCTCTTTAAAGAATACAGACATAGATTATGATATATACAAAATAGGAAATAAATCACCATCTGTCATTAATGGGAAATGTTGCATGCTTTCAGAATATTCATAATTTTAAGTCAGACAAGACGCTGTTTAGGGGGAATGCTTCTTTTATTTGAGAGTCTCTTTAAAGGCGTTTTAAATTCCGCTTACTCTGGGCACTTCCTGGAAGAGCATCTTTCCTATTTCTCGGCTTTGCTGCTCCTCTACTACATTCTTCAGACCCATGATAAGCACACAAACATAACACACAAAAGTCAAAACCACAGGCTGTGCGGCTGCACAGACCCCTTTTCTTATATGGCTGGTACTTAGCAGGGGATTGGCACCTGGGGCAAGGTTTTAATGCTTCATCAATAAATAGTGTTTTGGCAACCTGCAGTGAAAGCACACACACTAAATCTTCCAGTTTCATACAGGGAATCACTTTATTTCAAACTCTAAATATTTATGTCTAATAACTTGTGAGAAATACTCACCTTAACATATTCATCCTGTTTACTACTTAAGGGAGTAACAGAAGAGCTTGCTGTAGGTGTCAAAACTTCTCCCCAGGGAGAAAATGTTGAAACTTCTCCTTTCTGAAAACCTGGTATCCTAGCCTGAGCTTGTACAGATCTTAAAGCTGATCGATTTAAGAGATGGAGCCGAGTGGCAGCATCCTCAACATTTAATATAGCCCCCTGCAGTAAAAGATAAGAGGGATCAGTACTGTAATATCAAAAGTTCCGGAACAGTTTTCTGATGCACGTGCATTTAAATATTGAAAGTGATTTCACACTAAATTCCATTAGAATTTTCCCCCTAAACTTTCCCTTTTAGACAAAAATTTTCTCTCAGCTAACACTTAAATGTCAAAGAAATATAAATGAACGAAATTAAAACAAGAAGTGTTAGCTTTAAGCTTACACGATGGGTTATTTTTCTGCTAAGGTATAGGTTGGAAAACTTTTCCTGGAAAGGGCCAGACAGTATATATTTAATGTTTTGCAGGCCAGATAGTCACAGCCACTCAACTGCCATTTTAGCAAAAGCAGCTATAGAGATGTGTAAATGAAAGGGCAACTTACTTTAAAAACAGAAGTGATGGACAGGATTTGGCCCACAGACTGGAGTTTGCCAACCCCTCTTTTAAGTCAAGGTATAATTAGAGGTGAATCTTTGTAAAGTTTGCTATGGGATATCATGGAATTCTTAGAAGGTTTCTTACCTTAGCCACATGTCAGAAGAATAATGGGCCTGGTTAGACCATGAAATCCAATTGGTTTGGCTAGTTTTCATAATACACGTAAATACTGGAATCATTTTTACACTTACATTGTAATAAACATGCTTAGGCATTTTAAAAGGAGAAAAAAAGGTATCTCTTCTCTGAACTGGATTTCCACATTACTTAAATATTCAGCCAAGAAATATTTTCAATAAGCCCTCTATTTTGTTGAGGTTGATAACGGAAAAAAATCGTTGTTTTTTTTTTTTTTAACAAATTGGCCTTCTTAACCAATTATCAAAATAAAATGTACTGAGAGTTAATTTCCTCATGTGTCTAACTAAAACTGTGCCTCCTCTCCCTTGAGAGTTTCCCTTTGCCACAATTGGCTCCTAAAAGTGAGGAGAGAGAAAATAAGAGAAATTATAGTAGGATAAGTATAGGAAATAAGATAAGCTGGTCATGAAAAATTCCATGATTAACAGTTTAACAACATATGCATAAGTGTAATGGATGAACATTGGTTTGCCAAAATTAGAATGAATACAACTGAACTTTTTCAAGGACTCAATACATTTCTATATAGTACATTTGTATAAATAATTTGCAGCCTAGGACACAAGCACACGATAAAAGAGCACACCAAAATTTTGATGGATTCGATGCAATCGGTAAACACAGTGATTGTGTATGAACCAACAAAATGAATAGAGATACACTGTTGAAACACATTTCAGCCACAGAATAAACATTCATTTATTTAACAAATATTTATAGAACTCCTAAAGGTGCCAAGTGAATAAAACAGTCTAATCCCAGGCCTCGGAGAGTTTAAAATGTGTGCTTCCATCTCTGAGCGATAGGAGGCAAAGAAGTCAACCAAGGCACATGTTCACGAAGGCCAAAATTTTTCAAACACAGTCACATCATGTTACCAGAAAATACTTAAATGTGAGAGTTGAGTCACCATGTGGTTGTTCATTTCCATAATTATAAAAGAACAGTGAAGAATACAGTAAATTGAGAAATTTGATGGAAAAGCCGTATCCCAATTCTAATACTCATTCTCATGGCTGCAAAGCAAATGGATGAAATTGAGATCCTATTACACGTAGCTGGTGTTTGCCTTCTAACTTTTATACATAAGGAGCTTTCAGAGACATTACAGGAGTATGAGGAAAACTATCAAACAACTTTGTCTTACAATGTTTCTGTTTGGGTTAATGATATACATTAGGATAGTACATGTGGAAAGTAACCAGTCCATATCAGAATAGGAGGGCAAAGTGCACCAGGAAGGATGTCTCTAGGGAAAAGAAGGAACAGGAAGAATACCTGATTTGTCTGGACTTACACAGAGGAGATTTCCAGTTCTGGTGGATAATAGGAGATGAATCGGGGATCTGTACAGAGAAACACTAAGCAAAACAAAAGAAAGAAACTGGGCAATTAACAACTCTGGGAAAAAAAGTTATATAGGAAAAAAAATGTAATCATAGTGTACTGCATGTTTCAGCAGTCAACAAACTCATAGTCTCAATACAGTCTTAATAATGTCAGCACCTGTTTCTGATTCACTCCCAAATGGTGGTATGGTTACATTAGTGAGACAGGAGAAAAGAAGAAAGGAGTTCAGAGAGACGGGTGGGTGGGTAGGTAGTGGTAGGAGCGGTGAGAGGTTAGAGAACAAACTCTTCAAAGATAAAAGCCAAGAAATAGCAGGAAAGGCATGCCATTTAGAAACGTGGAGGTAAATCTCAAAAGGAACAACTGAAGAGTTGAAAGTGATTAACTTGGGACAAGAATCAAGAGTAGGAAGAGATGGGCGCCTGGGTGGCTCAGTCGTTAAGCGGCTGCCTTCGGCTCGGGTCATGATCCCAGAGTCCTGGGATCGAGTCCCACATCGGGCTCCCTGCTCAGCGGGAAGCCTGCTTCTCCCTCTCCCACTCCCCCTGCTTGTGTTCCTGCTCTCGCTGTCTCTGTCAAATAAATAAATAAAATCTTTAAAAAAAAAAAAAAAAAGAGTAGGAAGAGACAAGTAAGAGAATGTGTTTTGTTATAAGCCTCATAGTCTAGTTTGACTTTTTAAACCATATACTTGTTTTACTTTGAAAAAAAAAAAATTAAAAAGCAAATCAAAATAAGAAAAAAAGTTCAAGTAAGGAAAAACGTATAGTCCTTTAAGAAATAAAGTTGGGGGAAAAAAAGTGGTGGCCAGGATATGAATATTTTATCTGGAATTACCTGAAGTGTTGCCAAACACAACCATGCTTCTTTCCTTGTACATGTACATGGAGCTAATAGTTTAATATTAATAGATGCTTGCTTAAAAATTGTTTTTTGGGGGGGGTGCCTGGGTGGCTCAGTCAGTTAAGCATCTGCCTCCCTCTCTGCTGTTTTATTTATTTATTGGTCAGAGAGATAGAGAGCACAAGCAGGAGGAGTGGCAGGCATAGGGAGAGGGAGAAGCAGGCTCCCCGCTGAGCAGGGAGCCCGATGTGAGACTCGATCCCAGGACCCTGGGATCATGACCTGAGCCGAAGGCAGTCGCTTAACCGACTGAGCCACCCAGGCACCCTAAAAAAATTATTTCTTAAAGTAAGTCCTTAGCACATAGAGCAGCACTCTAAAAAATAAGAAGTTAAGAAGGCAAATATTTTCTCTAGTATAAGCTCTAGTATAAGCTCCCAGGCTCAGAAGCTGCAGCAGTAGGTAGCCAGGAGCTGTGAGTAAGTTGTAAGGCAATATCATAGGTGAGAAGGTAAAAAAAAAGTAAAATAGAAAGTCAACATTTTAGTTAAGTGCAGTCCCCAATATTTCATTGTAATGAGAAACCCACCAATCTGTAACTAGGTATTTATATTTGTTTACACCATATATCACCTCAATTATTATATTTTGTCAAATTAAAAATTTACTTATGTTATTAAATACTTTTTACTAGAACAAGGATAAGAGAGTGAACTCTCGTGGTTTCTTTTGGTATTAATGGCTAAGAAAGGTCTAAAAGCTGCATATACAATATATACGGGGCCAGAGTCATCAGATGCCTAGTACACAAAGTAATGTCGCTAGGAAGAATAAATCAGCTTCTGCAGGACTTTTCCTGTCAATTCAAAGCTGTTTCCCAAATCTTCAAGAAAATACAAGCTTATGATGCTTTACCAGCACTAATCTGCCACGCTCACTCACTTCCAGGCCTTCCTCTATGCTATCCTTTCTGCTGCAACGCTCCTCCCTGTCTTCACCTGGCTAGCCACTCACTCCCTCATCCATCAGGTCTCAGCGGAGTTGCACTGTTTCTGAAAAGCCTTCTCTTGATTCCCAAGTATCAAATACTCCTTTTAAATGATCTAATAGAATGAACTCTGGGCTTCCTCTAACACACCTGTATTATAATCCCCTGTTGACTTTTATCTCAAGTCATGGGGCATGAGTTCCAAGAGAGCAGGGACCATTTCAGAAAGGTTCACCATTGTAATCTGAGCAATTGGCACATAATATCCACTCAAAAGACGGGATAGAAAATGCTTTAAGGATATCTAATTATGAATAGGATCCAGCATAGCACTGGTATTCAAACCCTGCTAACAGCACACACACCTAAACAACAAAACCCTACAAGACGCTCTTGATGCTAGGTAGTCTACTCCCCTATGGACTGGAAGGAAATGGAGTTTGAGAGAAGTAAAACATTCATGAGTGAATGTTTGCTAAATGAAAAGCGTTAAAAGATAGCAGGAAAACCAAATTAGGTTGTCCAGCAATATGAGATTATTTTACAAATCCATTTGAGAAAAGTATTATATACATTACCTCAGAATCTGCTTTCAGTTGTGAGATATAACATTTCCTCCTCCGATTTGCTTTTTTATCTTGAACAATAATTTCACGCCAATTTCTGCTCACTTTCCAAACACTGCAACAAAATGATTGGTCTTTATATTGTATATCTTCCATAAAATTAACATTTTTGCATGTGACAATTAATAAGAAAAACTTGTTTTAAAGATTTTGGACAGTAATTTAAACCTAAAATTTACATTAAAAATATGACTTGATCTACATTATTGTTCCATATTGTTTCACCATATGAAAGAATTGTCATTAAAATATTAAGTATATGCCAGCATTATATTGACAGGTTATTATCTTACAAATGGTTAAGAGAAAAACATAGTTTCATATAAAGCCAATATGAGTCCACTGGGAGACTGATTAAGAGGATTTAACTTCAAATGCGAGACTAAAATTAAAAATTTGGAACACAACATGTAGAAAATGATTATCATCCATATAGCACAAGAGGTGTTTATCTATTCCTCCTATGAATGTACTTAACAAAGCTATCATTTTTTTATTATGTTATGTTAATCACCATACATTACATCATTAGTTTTTGATGTAGTGTTCCATGATTCATTGTTTGCGTATAACACCCAGTGCTCCATTCAATACATGCCCTCTTTTATACCCATCACCAGGCTAACCCATCCCCCCACAAACATAAGAACTATCAATAATTCATTGGATGTACTAAGTGCCAAATAACAATCATTATGATGGGTAGCGCTACAAAGTTTCTATTTTAGAAACCAAAGTTGATGAGAATGAAGTAGCTAAGAAAAAAAAAAAAAAAACCTCAATTTATATCCAGAGATTGCCTATTTATCAATAACCTTGGCTATACTATTTATGAAAGAAAAGATCATCTCTCAGCTGTTAATCTGGTCTTTTTTATTACTCTAACTTAAATCACTCAAAGGGAATAAGATCAGACAATTAAAAAAAGTTCGCTTGCTGTTATGGGGCTAATACTTTCCTTCCAGTTACTATGGCCACTTCAATTGCCTTGCCTCTCCCTAAACCAATAAATGTGTCTTATATCAGATTGATGGAGAGGAAAAGGCAGAAAGTCACCTCTAAATGGGGAAGAAATTAACTATGCAGTTGGTTATTTGCCACAGTTATTTCAACTGACCATAATCTCTCACATTACCAAGAATAAACACTGCTAACATTATACATGCATTCTGCAGTACAAATACTATACATTTGGAGGGGTGGGGAAAAGTGGTAACTACAAAAATATGACCAAATATCAACTGTTCCTACAAGTGAGCATCCAAAAATATCACCCAAGTTTTTAATTGGTCTCTATCCAAATACTACAGCATATAAAAATAAACTTCCTATATTTCAGCCATCTCCTTGATTTTTTTAAACAAATAATTTATCTCATTCAAACCTTTTTTTAAAGGCACATACATACAGGTACACTAATCTGTTTATTATCCTACTTGGTTTACACCAAGGACATTCCCGGTCAAGTCTATTTAGAAAGGCCTTAAATCTTAATATAAGCTTGTGAGGCAGTATTGGATTGAGAATCAGAGGGCTCAGGGCACTTGGGTGGCTCAGTCATTTAAGCGTCTCACTCTTGCTCTCAGCTCAGGTCATGATCTCAGGGTCATGGGATCAAGCCTGGCATGGGCTCCATGCCCAGCGTGGAGTCTGCTTAAGATTCTCTCTCTCCTTCTGCCCCTGCCTCCACATTTCCCTTTCTAAAAAAAAAAAAAAGAAGAAGAAAGAAAAGAAAAGAAAAAAGAAAAAAAAATCAGAGGGCTCAATTAAAGACCTAGATACATTCCTATCTCCTTGAATGACTGTTGGCAGGTACTTAACTTCTTTGGAAGTTTCCCCATCTGCAAAACATGTTATTAGACCAGATGTCTCAGAAGACTTCCAGCTACAAAATTCTACAATTCTCTACAGTAGCCTACGATTAATTTGTGGAGGAAAGGTGAAGAAGGGCTTTAATAGAAGCAGTGGCCATAAAAACAGCAAGGATTCTATGAACCAAACTCTTGACATATCTCTATCAAAAAACAAATTCACAAACTCTCCTGCATGTCCTCCCTCTACCGTCACCTTGCAGAAGTCTACAGGCTTCCCTCCTTCCTGGTCATGGCATTCCCAAAGGTTCTACAGGCTTCCCTCCTTCCTGGTCATGGCATTCCCAGAGGTCTTGTCTTCTGATAGTCCTGCAACTCCCCAAAATTGCCAGTATGAACACAGTCTCACGTTAGTCTTTATAACCCTCGTTCCTGCCTTCAATACTCCTAAATGTCTGTTTCTCTTTAATTATGTGGCAGCATCCAATATACTGAAATCTTTGTTAACACAAATACTTCAGTTTCTAATTCCTTGAAATTCCCAAAAGTAATTACCTTCCACTGCCCTGTTAGCAATGAAAATGAACTAATCCATATGCCTTGGTCTCTAGAGAAACTAAGCCCTAAAATGAAAGCTAACCATCATTTTGGATTCTAGAATTTAGATTAAATAACTAAATGGTATCTTTTGTATGTTGTCATTTCTTAGTCACCATAATACTTTACATTGTTTCTGACCAAGTGTCATAACTTTAATACAATTTGCAATCTGACAATAGGATGTGAACTATTAAATCAGTAAATAACTTTTGCAGAATATAATTTGCCATCTTGAAAATTTAAAGTTCAACGTTTAGAAACTCTCCTCCCAAATGACAGTGACATGAACTTTATCCAGAAGACTATATTGATGCTTTCTAAAACAGGATTTTATTTTTTTTTAAGATTTATTTATTTATTTTAAAGAGAGAGAGAGAGAGAGAGGTTGGGGGGGAGGGGCAGAGGGAGAGAACCCCCAAGCAGACTCCCCACTGAGAGCTGAGCGCAAGGCAGGGCTCCACCCCACAACCTGACTCCAGCCAAAACCAAGAGTCGGACCCCCAACCGACTGAGCCACCCAGGCGCCCCTAAAACAGGATTTTAAACAGAAAGAACTGTATTAGTAAGCTCTTCTAGGAAGCTCACTAAACCACCTTTGATAAAGTGTAAGACAACCAAAGATAGAGATAATAAAACAAAATGAATAGAAAATAGCACAACTACTCAACTCACAGAAAAGCTTTCCAACTTAAAAAAAAAAAAAAGGTGGTGGGCGCCTGGGTGGCTCAGTTGGTTAAGCGACTGCCTTCAGCTCAGGTCATGATCCTGGAGTCCTGGGATCAAGTCCCGCATCGGGCTTCCTGCTCAGCAGGGAGTCTGCTTCTCCCTCTGACCCTCCTCCCTCTCCTGCTGTCTCTCATTCCCTCTCTCAAATAAATAAATAAAATCTTTAAAAAAAAAAAAAAAAGGTGGTAAGAAGGAAGCTTTACTTCAGAAAAAAAATTTATTTCTTACCTGCATAGGCTTTCTGCAGTCAAGGAATCTAAAACCATAGCAAGAATATGTTTTAAATTTCTATATTTTAATTCTGTTAAGATGTCCAGTTTTTCTATACCCATTTTCTTGCCAATCAGTCCTGCAAGTACACACTGTAGTACAGCTATTTGCCCCCCATCCTTCTCTTCTAAGAATTCATGTGCACCATTTTGCTGGAATCTTTTTCTTTTGTTTCTCATAAAGAGTTCGTGCACTAACTGCAAAGCTGGGGTCTTTGATAAATTCTTAAAGCTTAAAATCTCATTGTCACTGCTCGGCTGATTCTCCGAGGTGTCTGAAGCAGTTGCTGGTGTTGCTTCTGAGTCAGAGTCCCTTTCTGTCTCAGACTGTGAGCTTTGTTCCTGAAGTGTGGACAATCTTCTCAGCCTCCGAAGATGCCCTGACTTTTTTATGGTGTCCCCCACTTTGACAGTTCCCTTACGTTTCCGAAGTTCTCGAAAAGAACCCTCCTGGTCAGAGAGGGAATCTTCTGATTTATCCAAACAAAGTGAGTTAAAACCACTGTCTTCAGGTGTTGAAATATTGCCCCTCACTTCAGCTGAAGGAGAGAGCCTTTGACTTGCATTAAATTTAATGTTTGCTACAAGATTACTTATTGGAGTCACACATAAATTCTCATTTGTTCCACAAGATGTTCGACTAGCAGAAGAGCCCAGAAGTTTGGGATATGTATTCTCATCATTAACAAACAGACTGCTATCACTAAGGTCATATGTGATAGAGTCTTTAGAACTATTGCCCTGAATCGGAGATATACATTCAACTTCAAATAGGCTACAGTCATCTTTGGAATCATCAACTGTGGAAGTCTTCTGTTGAGAAAAATTAAGTCTCAATTTTTGACTGCTGGAAGTTGCTTCTTCTGTTTTCAAAGTACTAGTAACTAAAGGACTAAAATTGGTTTGCCTTGGAAAACCTGAAGCACAGCTTGGATTATTTTTTTCTAAGTTGAGGACTTGGTTTATACTACTTTCTAAAGAACTGTTTTGTGATTCACAGTCCTCCTTTAGGAAAGAGAAAGATCTGTCCAACCTTTTACGCAGTAAAAATTTTTTTCCACTGACTTTAGGGGTTTCACAAAGTTCTGGAGTTGTATCATTTTCATTCCTAGAAAAGACAAATCTCTTTTTTTGAGTTGGAGATTCTAAAGGATGAGTTAAGCCCAGATTTGAAGTTTCAGGATGTTCATGGATTAATGTTGGGCCTTTTTCTTTCTTTCCAAAAAATTCTTTATCTGTACTACCAAAGTTGCAAGGTTGTAACAACTCACTGTAGCCACTATCTTGAAATGAAGATGTGGAACAGAAATCTCTGAAGCTGGAGGATTTGAAGTTGACGGTAGGAGAGTCCACCTCATTTTCTGCTCCAGTGCAAGCTTGGCTTGAACGTCTCTCTGACATCTTCAAAATCTGTTTCTAAAAGTGCAAACAGATTATATTCTTCCTTTGAAATGAGTAGCCTAGCAGCTTATCCAAAAATATATGAATAGGGATAAGACAAAATGTTATGGCAATAAGAAAAGTTACCTTAAAAAAACAAATCTACTCTAATACATACTCATGTGTATATTACTGAACCCAACTTTTAACGTCATAAAAACCAAAACTTTTGGGTTATACATATTCACGGATTACTTGGTTAAGCATAGTCCTAAGCACCATGCACAAATATTTTCTTGAACTACACTTGAGGAAAAAATCTGGCAACATCATTTTTAGATTTTATTACCTTACGATTTTAACAGCACTGAAGTACATATAGTTTTAATATTCTAGCTTATTTGTACTGGCCTATATCTAGTCAATTGGATATTTCCCTTCAAGGTTCTGGTATATAAGTAAAGCTGTTTAAAAAACTATATGCCAATTTTTAAACATGTTTTTGGAAATGTGTCAAATGAGTGCTACCACTAGATTTAATGGCAACTTGGCTAAGCAATACCAGGATAATATTATTCATCTTTGTGACATAGGCCTGCCACAGAAATCCAGTCCCCATGACCATTTTCAAGGTCTGAGTTCCCAGACTCATAACTCTGCAAAGACTCCTTGGCTGATTGATGAATTACTAATACATTCTTCTTGACCTAACCCAAATGAACCAGCACCCCACAGATAGAGGGCATGTTATTCTTGTCTCATTTTCTAAATATTTTGAGATGTCAGGTCCAGTTGCAGGTTTGAATTCACAGATAACAGACAACTATTTGTGGGAAACTCACCCTTTATAATAGTCTTGAAATTACAAGAACAGAAGTCAAGTAAATTACTTGTAATTACTTATTGAGTTACTCAGTAATTATATTTGTAAGGAATGACACTAGGAGATACTTTACTCCTTAACCTTTTCTTAACAGTATTATCACATTCCTTCTTTCTAGAAACTCAAATTGTAGCTCAAAGGGTATGAAGGGGAGAAAATTACCATAGTTTCTGATATTTCTCCAGATTATTCAAAGAACACTGAGAAAACTGTCATTTTTCAAAGTTCTCTCCAGACCAAATACATAATTTTTCTCTATTAAAAGATCCTGGGAAAATATATTTTAGTTGAATATAATGGGAAAGCAATATATTTATGCTTAGGTTATACTAGTTAAGTACCTAAGTGAATGAGTTTTTAAAAACAACAACAACAACAACAACAACAAATTGCTACTCCAACCACAAAACAAAAATTTCTTTATGGTAAAATGATCATGGGAAGATTACTACTGGACAAAATACCTAAGTGTTTTTCAACCTTTTAAACCTATATTCAATTCTGGTAAATCTCATACATGTTCTCTTCTGATCTAGATCCCCACAGATCTTAAGAATAACTGCTATCTTCTGTACATGCTTACCAGCCAAGATAATCAAACTTTGCTTTCTATAACTTGCATTATACTTTAAGACAATTTTGTTTTCAAAATATTAAGTTAATGACATATAATGAGCTTCCAAATTACACCTGCACCCATGAATATTTTTCCCTCTCTGAGAATCATTCTATAAAGTTAAAATTAGGTCAACAAATCCTTCTAAAATTTTAGAGCAAATGTAACTATTCTACCTTACCACTAGGTGTCTCACCATGCTAGAATTTGGGAAACAGGCAAATTGTTAGAAACAAAACCAGGATGCAGATATCCTCTCCCCCTACCACCCATAGGCCACTTGATATAAACATAAACATATAAACAAAAAACTAATTTTTTTTCTGTTCATCTACCCATCTGAAGTTGCCTCCAATGTGCTTTCTCTGCTGTCATCATCTCCATCTTTCTACTATCCCAAGATGTTGGTCTCAAACAAAAATTGGTTCTTCAAAACTTAATTTTTAAATCATTTAAAAAGACTCATGCAAAATTTTGAAATGTCCATTGACTTACCTAATTTTACCGATTCAACAGTTCACTAATTAATCAAACGAGCCTCCTTGATACTCATTTTTTAAAACCAGGCTCCTGAGCGTTGAGAACACATCTCTATGTGCCCTCAAAAAAGAAAAAATTGGCAAGGATGTGGAGAAAAGGGAAATTTCACGCACTGCTGATGGGAATGCAAATTTGTGCAGCCACTATGGAAAACGGTATGGAGGTTCCTCAAAAAATTAAAAATAGAACTATCATATGATCCAGCAATTCCACTTCTGGGTATTTACCCAAAGAAAAAGAAAACACTAATTTGAAAAGATACATGTACACCTCTATGTTCATTGCAGCATTATTTACAATAGCCAAGATATGGAAGCAACCTAAGTGTCCATTGATAGATGAACTGATAAAAATGAGGTACATATATACAATGAAATATTACTCTGCCATAAAAAAAGAATGAAATCTTGTCGTTTGTGACAACATGGATGGACTCATAGGGTATTATGCTAAGTGAAATAAGCCAGACAAAAACAAATACCATATGATTTCCCTTATTGTGGAATCTAAGAAACAAAACAAATGAACAAATGAAACAGGAACAGACTCATAGAAACAGAGAACAAATCTGAAGTTGCTAGAGGGGATGGGGGTAAAGGGTGGTCAAAATAAATGAAAAGAATTAGAGGTACAAACTTCCAGTTATAAAATAAATAAGCCATAGGAAGGCAATATACACCACAGGGAATGCAATGAATAATATTGTAGTAACTTTTTATAGTGACAGATAACTAGACCTATCAATGTGATCATTTCATAATGTATAAAAATGTAGAATCACTATGTTGTACACCTGAAACTAATATGATATTGTATGTCAACTATAATTCAGTTTAAAAACACTTAAGTTAGAGAATGAAATACCACTTAACTATATTAAAACCAAATTTTCATTTGTTAAAGTGGAAAATCTTACCATCAGTAAATCTTGAGCTCTTAGATGTCAGTTATGTGAGCTTCCAAACAAGAAAATCTTTCACTTTGCTTTCAAAACTCATGCCAAAGTATTACCAATTAAAAACTGGACAATCGAAACCTGCAGCAGCATGATGACTGCTAAGATTGGAAAGGTACATCAGTACACGCTGCAGGGATTATTCCTAACATATGAAAAGGTCTAAACCATTTTGAACTTCGTTCAGCTCTCCCGATAATGGTAATTTCAATATCCTTGTTCTCTCCAGCGAGTCTGGGAACTGAGGAACCTCCCCAAATTCGGGTTTTTCTGAAAATGCAGCGTAACAAGCCACAGCGCGGTCATCTATTCCCCCCAAGGTGCTGTCAGCGGGTGGCTGGTTAACGGTCTCACCAGGGCGTCTTTTGGCCCCGTCCGCCCTCCGGGACCTTCCCAAGGCCAAGCTGGCGGAGGGATGGGGGTCGCCTCGCTCCGCCGCCAGGGCCCAGGGCCCAGAACGCCACCGAAAGGCGGAGGGTGGGTGGGCGTCACCTGGCGCGGAGCGAGCGCGCAAGAGATCGGCTTCGGGGCGCCCCTCTCGTCCAGCACCTGGAAAGCAAAGTGGGCGCCGGGCCGGGCGCCGGGAGGCCCGCTAGCCGGCACACCCGTGGGCCCCCCACTCCCGCCCACCTGGAGAGCGAGGCGCGCCCGCACCGACCGGGCCGCGGGGCCAGGCGGGAGGGGAGTCAGGCAGCCGCCGCTGGGAGCGCCGGGCAGGGGCCACCGCCTCGCCCCCGGGGATGCCCGGCTATGGCAACCCCCACGCCAGCTTCGCGTGGGGCCGCCGCGTTTCCCTCCTTCGGTTTGAACCGCCCGCCTTGAGTAACCGCTACGCGCCGCCCCGCCCCGCGCCGCCTCTTCCTCCGCCTCCGCGGCGCCCCCGCCGGCCGCCCCGCGACGCGCAGGCCGGGTCCCGGCTGCCCCCGGAGGAGGTCTCGTCCTCCCCTCCCCACCCTTCCGCCCCCACCCAAAGCTCAGCCGGGCTTCCTAACTTCATGGGCTCTGCCTCTCCCCATTCTCACCTTGGGGAGCATTATGTAGAAAGGCCACTAGGCCCTACAGTGGGATGCCATCAAAAATAATGCGGGTGAGTGGTCACTTGGATAATGTTTCTTGAGATAGGTATAAAAAGCAGGTTACAAACTGAATGACGCCTTTTAGTAGTATAGATATACACAGGATGAGGTCTGAAAGGTATGACTAACTTGGTTACAGTGTCTCTGCACCGGATTATGCTTGATTCTGCTAGACGGGATGTTTTATATTGTTCACCGGACACCTATTCTATGCCAGGCTCCATCCTTCTGCTCTTGGCAGCTTCCTCCTAGTCTCCTTTTTCTGGCTTCTTTTTCTCTGCCTTTTCCCTAAATGAGACGTCCTACCTCAGCACTTTTTTTTTTAAACTTTGCCATTATGTTCTTACATAATTCTTGTGCAGAACCTCACCCATTACTTTTAAGCCAATAATAGCAGCTACCACCACTCTCCTCCAACTGGACATTTATTTCTCTGTCTGGATGTCCTTTAGTCATCCAAAATGAAATATATCCAAAATAAAACTCACTAACACTTAATTAAGTTCTGCCAATCACTAGGCTAGCTACTGGGAATACAAAGATGAGTACAGCACAGTAATGGCCTTAAGGGGCTCACGAGCACTCTAATAGAGGAACGGTAGTAGTACAAAGGAAAGAGGATCAACTAATCCTAAGGAATTCGAAGAAGGGGTAGAATTAACTTTATAAAGACCATGACTTAATCAGAGAAAGACGTGTATCATACGACCTCACTGATATGAGGAATTCTTAATCTGAGGAAACAAACTGAGGGTTGCTAGAGTGGGGGGGGGGGGATGGGGTGGCTGGGTGATGGACACTGGGGAGGGTATGTGCTATGGTGAGCGTTGTGAATTGTGTAAGACTGTTGAATCACAGACTTGTACCTCTGAAACAAATAATACATTATATGTTAAAAAAAAAAAGAAGAAGAAGAAGATAGCAGGAGGGGAAGAATGAAGGGCGGGAAATCGGAGGGGGAGATGAACCATGAGAGACTATGGACTCTGAAAAACAAACTGAGGGTTCTACAGGGGAGGGGGGAGGGGAATGGGTTAACCTGGTGATGGGTATTAAAGAGGGCACGTTCTGCATGGAGCACTGGGTGTTATACACAAACGTGGCATCATGGAACACTACATCAAAAACAAATGATGTAATGTATGGTGATTAACATAATAAAAAAAATAAAGACCATGACTCGAGGTGGATTTTGAGGGACAAATGGCAATTTAAAAGTCAGACAACAGGTGATTTCAATCTCAAAATGTGCAAGAGCAGGAAAGTTGGGACAGTTGGGCAAACTGTAAATAGTTTGTTATATCTAGAAACTCAGATTTATTTGAGGAAAGGGCAAAGAAAATTCTTGAGAAGGGGAAGAAGCCAAGTCATGGAGAATTTTGGATGCAGTTAAGAGTCTGAAGTTGATCCTCTAGGCATTGCAGAGCATTTTAATTTGAGAAAGATCATTCTGGTGGCAGAATGGAGAACAGAAGGAAAAGAGGTGAGGGTGGTTGCAAGGAGACCACTTAGGAAGCTATTGCATGACTCTGGAAGCCAGTGGGGCTGGAGAAGAACCTGGACTCAACACGTTCAGTTAGCAGAATCAAGTGCATGGGGCAGGGGTTGAGGAAGCACAGAGGATAGGTTTGGAACAAAATAAGATGAATTTAGTATGAGGTTGTTAAGTTTCAGGTACCTGTAGGACTTAAGGAATTGGTGAATTACACATAGCACCTCTCTGAAGACACCCACACGTACCCAGATACAGTGAGTAGTGCCCTCTCTAGCTCTTCAGACAAATCTCTATTACAGCCATTTTGCCCTTCCCCCCACCATAGCATTTGCAATCCTCCTTCTTTGCTGAATTTTCTCCATGTAGTTTATCACCTTCTAAAAATGTCATATTACTGGGATGCCTGGGTGGCTCAGTCGGTTAAGCGTCTTCAGCTCAGGTCATGATCCCAGGGTCCTAGAATCAAGTACTTGGGCTCCTTGCTCAGCGGGAAGCCTCCTCGCCCTCTGCCTGCTGCTCCCCCTGCTTGTGCACTCTCTGACAAATAAATAAAATCCTTAGATAAAATAAATAAAAATTAAAATGTCATATTACTTACTTATCTAGTTTAATGTCTGATCCTCACTCCCACTATAACATAAACAGGGCAGGGGATTTTGCCTATGGTTTAAAAAATCCACAAAATCCCAAACATAATTTAAACATTGCTCTTTTCTCTTTATCTAGTTAATTTATTTTCTTTATTTTATTATGACTGAAGAGCGCAAAAGTATAACATAACTCCCTTCTATCATAAGAGTAATTTTTACTCCCTCCCCCCGACCACCAAAAAGGCAAAAAGGAACCTAGTTATATATAGCTTGTCCTGGCTTTACTCATATACCCCAAATACAAATCACTGAGCTATATTCTCCTATTCTTTTTTTTTTTTTCTATTTACCCACCATGGTCTTTGGCCTTTTTGCTTCCTTTTCTGGATTGGATGTCATCCCATTACTGACCTCAGAATTTTAAAACCATCTGTTTTCCATAAGATCTAATTCTTCTTTTGGGGACCATCCAGCAAAACATAATGAAAGACTTTTCCAATCACGATGACTCAAGCTATGCAGATATACTTAAAAGAATAAGATCAAGGAATATGAAAAACAGAGTTTCAGGGAGGAAAAAAGCAACTTGCATCTCCATAACCATATTTTAAGGAATTAAAAGCACTAGTATCCAAGATAACAAGACATCTGCCCTCATTAGGAGAGGGCAATGGAGTGATATCTGCACATGGTATGTGCTCAAGAAAAGTTAGCTGTCACCAATGATAATAGTTTACATTGACCATGCTCCATAGTGATTCTAAAACTATTGGTTCCTACTGATAGGAAAGAGGGTGTTGGATTGAGAACTAGCATCAACATGGACTTTTGTAGAAATTCTGGATCTCCTCGATATCACTTGTAATTACTCTACCCTTCCACAGGGTCCCAAGACCCATTTCTATCCTACTTTTGCGATCTATTCTCATCTCCCTAGACTGTTATGTGCCAGAATCATTTTGATACATCAACTGGAGAGTCAGAATCCAGTAAAGTGTGCAATGATTAAAGTTACACTTTCTGTATCACTCCATCATCTTTCTCTTTTTTTAAAAAAAAAATTTTTATTTATTTATCTGAGACAGAGAGAATGAGAGAGACAGAGAGCACATGAGAGGGGGGAGGGTCAGAGGGAGAAGCAGGCTCCCCGCCGAGCAGGGAGCCCGATGCGGGACTCGATCCCGGGACTCCAGGATCATGACCTGAGCCGAAGGCAGTCGCTTAACCAACTGAGCCACCCAGGCGCCCTCATCTTTCTCTTTTTAAAAAAGATTTTATTTATTTATTTGACAGAGAGAGAGACCACGAGAGAGGGAACACAAGCAGGGGGAGTGGGAGAGGGAGAAGCAGGCTTCCTACTGAGCGAGGATCCCGATGCGGGGCTCGATTCCAGGACCCTGGGATCATGACCTGAGCCGAAGTCAAGACGCTTACCAACTAAGCCAGCAAGGCGCCCCTCCATCATCTTTCTCTTATAACAACAGTTTTATCTAGTAATTCTTGTAGGAAAGCTTATTTTGACTGTTCTGTTGCATTACTCTCTTCTCTTTGGTTGAGAGGGGAGGTCAAAATATTTATGCTGTATGTTGGCCTGTCTGTGAAAAAAGCAGCAAGAAAATCCATTATGTTTCCCTGGAAATTAAAAAATTGGCAGCCAGGAAGACCAGGAAGATCAAGTTAAATCTCCCAACCTGGTCTGTAAAGGTACGATCAGTTTGAACTCCTGGAAGTGAGAGGTGAAGCCTGGCCCGACCCGTCCCCGCTGTGGCTGGGCCGGGGGGGGGGGGGGGGTGGCTGAGGAGTCTTGGAGAAAAGGTTTTGTGCCCTCGGGTGGGGCTTACCCCTCATATTTATGATTTTAATTTACACAGTGCCCGCCGTGGAAGCAAATGTCTCCTGTATCGCTGTGTACATACCCGATCTGGGGGTGTAAATAGGCTGTTCTGTGTATAAATAAAATCGTCCATTGTCAAAGTGCTGGATGGAAGACAGGAAAGCAGTATATGCTGCTTAATAAGAAATCAAGGACATGTTGGGGTGAAAGAAACCTGTTTCTCTGCTTAACTATAATCATTATTAACAACTATTTTCTAAATTTTAATTCATTTTCTTCTTCCTTCTGATGTAAGTGAAAACCTTCTGTGAAAGAAGCAAACGAACGTAAATGTTGTGAACCCATTTGCTATTAATCTCACTGATTTTGATCTTTCAAAAAACACACCTCCACTGCTCAGATCCTTTTGTTTCATCTAGGGAGGAATACATGAGATGGAAGGAAGGTCAATCAATGGATAGTGACTGCTACCAATATCCCTTAGTTTTAAGTGGAATTAATCTATGTAGCTGCCTTCATATCGCCTTTGCTTTTAAAAAAAATTTATTTTAGAGAGAGAGAGACAACACGAGTGAGAGGGACAGAGGGAGAGGGAGAGAGAATCTCAAACAGACTCCACGCTTGAGTGCAGAGCCTGATGCGGGGTTCCATCCCAGGACCCTGAGATCACGACCTGAGCAGAAACCAAGGCTTGGGGGCGCCTGGGTGGCTCAGATGGTTGAGCGTCTGCCTTCGGCTCAGGTCATGATCCCAGGGTCCTAGGATCTAGTCCCGCATCGGGCTCCCTGCTCTTTGGGGAGCCTGCTTCTCCCTCTGCCTCTCTCTCTCTTTTTTTTTTTTTTTTTAAGATTTTTTATTCATTTATTTGACAGAGAGAGAGCACAAGTGGACAGAGCAGCAGGTAGAGGGAGAGGGAGAAGCAGGCTCCCCGCCGAGCAGGAAGCCCGACGCGGGGCTCGATCCCAGGACCCTGGGACCACGACGCGAGCGGAAGGCAGACACCCAACCGACTGAGCCACCCAGGCGCCCCGTCTCTCTCTCCTGAATAAATGAAATCTTTAAAAAAAAACAAACCAACCCCAAAAGCAAGAGTTGGAGGCTTAACCAACTGCGCCATCCAGGCGCCCCAGCCTTTGCTTTAAAACAAGCAAAAGGAGTGGGTCAGAGGGACAACAGGAGCCTACGAAAGGTTCAAAAAGCAAAAATGAAATTATGTGAAGGATAGGGGGCGGCTGCTCCACTGGCCCAGCACAGGTATCAAACAATAGGAAAAACATAATCTGAAAAGTGCTTTTTAAAGTGAAAATCAGTGATGCAGTCGCTGCTTCTGTGTTCCTCCGAGTAACGGTTAGCCTAGGATTCCAGGGGCACTTGTCATTTCGCTTTCTCTCCTAACCCTCAGCCCTCCTGGAAGTTTACTTTCTACTGACTTCATTAGTTAGAAAAGCAGACTCCCTCCGATTTGAGGAACTACTGAAATGCTTTGCTATTCTGAAAAATGAAATAAGCTGGGGCGAAACACGAATTCTTCTCCACAGAGCCTAACATCCAAAATTCCCGGCTTTACCGCTTGTGTACAATCCGGGTTCCTTGGCCACGCCCGGGGGGCGGAAGAGGCGGGGACTACACGCGTCATATGCCAGCGCCGGAAGTTGGTTGAGACACAACGAGGAGCCATAATCCGCCGCGAACTGCAGAGTACTTAGTTTCTGGGGGCTACGTGGGTAGGGAATTGGCTAGTTGTATTTAGAGGTGGGTATTTGGACCCAAATTGGTAAGACCCTCAAGGTTAAAAAGGTCCGGTATGGGGTTAGAATTGGGAGAAGCTGGGGGTTGAGTGGATGGTGTTATTCCTTTGCCCGGTTTCGTTCAGGTTAGCTCTTTGGCTTTGGGGAGTTATTCTCCCCTTATTTTCGGTTCGCATGTTCCCTTGTTGAGGGATATAATTTATTGCTTTCTGCTGAATTTTGGAACAGTAGGACTTCTGTTAAATGGGAACGCGAGCTTTGCCGTCAGATCCCAGTGCCCCTATCTCTTAATAGCTGAATAACCCTACGCAAATTGACTTCTACAGGGCTGGGTTTCTTCATCTGTAAAGTAAGGGTAATAACTCCTACGATTGTTGTAAAGATTAAAATGACATTATATGTGTAAAATGTTACTGTGTCTAGTTTGGGGGTAAGTGCGCAATACGTTGTCGTCCTTTAGCTCTACCCATAGGGTTTGAAAAAGTACACGTTAGGAATTGGGACTTTTTTAGGTTTCCCTGAGAAAAATGAGGCCTGGTTGTGTTTGTGAGGAGCCCTTTTAAGATATTAAAGATTTAAGTCTGTGATTTCAGGGACTATCAATGGACACCCAAAAGGACGTTCAACCCCCGAAGCAGCAGCCGATGATATATATCTGCGGAGGTAAGAGTAGAACTTAAATAAAGTAGGAGTGTTTTACTTCAGAGTTTTGAAATAATTACATTTAACTTTGTCTTGAATGGGTCATCTTTAAAGTTACAAAGCAGAATACCAGCAACTGTAAAAAAAAAAAAATCTTATTAAGAATTCGTCCTCCTTAGTATATTGTTGTTAAATAATAAAAGTTCAACTGAGTACATTTTAAAGGTGTAATAGGCTTTATTAATGGATTCATGAATCAGGCAGCATCCTGCCTAGCAAGTAGATGGGAGCTCCAAAAGGCTACAGAAAAGGAAAGGTTTTTAAAGGTAGAGAGGAGTGGGGAAAAAGGAAATTATTAGCAAAGACTCCATTGTTTTAGGTAAGGTTGCCTTTCTAAGAGGAACCAAAAAACAGTAAATTTCCTAATGCTGACAAGGAAATTCCCATGTTGAGTGTCAGGGGTTATATTTCTGAATGGTTGAAACTGCAGTTAGGTTAAGTGTTAAGTCTTGGTTTACTAGGTTTACGGACTTGGCATCTTAACCTAAGTGAGGCCATTTGGGTCCTGTGGTTTTCTTTTCAACATGGTCATGGCACCATACTCTTGAGATTGAGTACATTTTAGTGCTTTGGGTAAAAAATACAGTTAAGATAATTTGCTTGTCTGTCCTATTTGCCCTTTAGACATTGAATGACCATACTTTCTTTTTTAGAATGTCACACCGAAAATGAAATAAAATCCAGGGATCCAATCAGATGCAGAGAATGTGGATACAGAATAATGTACAAGAAAAGGACTAAAAGATGTATCCTTGTAACTTGCTAAATATGAAGTAGGTGGAAGTGAAGAATAATGCTTGGGTTGTTAGTCAAAGACTAATTTCTGATTTAAAAAAAAGGTAATAACTTTTAGACTACTTACCAAAAAGGCATGATTAGGATTTTCATAATCATTTTATTTTTATTTTCATAATAAAAATCCAGTGAAGAGGCATATACTAAATATTTAAATACTAGTTGATTTAGTTCTCATAAGTCTATTTTTCAGGATCGGTATTTAACTTATTTTACGTATAGTCCTTCTTGAGTTTGAGTTGATGGACAAACTAAATTATACAAGTAGAAATACAAATACTGTGTATGAATGCTACTTAATGGATAAAGTGAGGCTTACAAATTAGCTGAAAGACAAAGTACATTGTTACATGGTAATTAATAATACAATTACAGTATTTTTTAAACCAGTAAGTTACCTTGCTAACATGGTTTCAGTGTTTTTTGGTGCATTGGTCTTTTGTATCATGGAAAGGGGACTAATAAAAATTGAAACCTTTTTTTTTTTTATTTCCAGTTGTCATAGTAAATACTGAGTTCCATTCTTTTGTGCATTGTAGCTAAATAACTAGCTTATTGCAAAGAGAAAGTGACTTGGAAGTGTTAAATCTTTCATGTAATTTTAAAATATGTTTTTGTCCTTAACTCATTTTAAAACAGTGGTGGTTTTTGATGCTCGATGAAACATGGAATTCAGAGGATTATCTTCATTTGTACTTGGATTTGCTGTTAATGTTGTATAGCTTTTGATTAGTGTATATATCTTTACAAATACAAATAACATTTCATTTTAAAATCCATCTTGTATTTAGATATCTATTTAATAGTTTCTATAAAGTTTTTTGTTCAATTACATGATTTATAATTTACTTTTATTGTATATGTAATCTGACAGAGTGAAAGTTTAAAGTACACTTAATTAAGCACACTTAATTAAGGCCTAGAATCTTTTGGGATTCTTGTTAAAAATGAAGTTTCTAGGGCCCTGTGAAGGTCTGATTAAGTAAGTTCCTTGGAAACTACTGTTTTACATCACCAACTATAAACTCTCCAGCATCATTTTGTATTGAGTATACCAATGTGCTTAGCATGCATGCATTATTTTGTGTTAAATTTTTCATTTTACTTGATGTAGGCCTTCTGTATGTATATATAAGGCTTGACTATATTTTAAATCTTGGGTGAGGAAAAAGAAACTTTAATGGTTGCATCTGTAAGGCAAAATCAACCCTAAGTAAAGTGGATGAAGCAGATTATTAAGGCAGGTGTAGTTTCTGAGGTATAATCATTAAGGTAAAAAATTCTGCTTTCAGGATATATAAAGATATAAATATATATATATATGGACTTGTTTACACTGACCTATGGATAAATGTTTAAAACTTTTGCCCTTTTGCCTTGATCTTGGGGATATGGATACTCGAATACTCCCATTTGTTCCAGGATTCCATCATTATGGGATGTCATCTGACATTCATTTTGAAGATTAGATATATTCCATCTTCACTATTAGCTATGTGTGTCTCTGACATTCAAAAAATTAAGTGCCATTTTAAAAAAGCACCTATATTTCTATTAACATCCTTGAATACTAAGTTCTATAAATTTTTTAAGTGCTATACAAAGTACTACCATGCTCAGATTTTTATTTATTTATTTTTTGAAGATTTTATTGGACAGACAGCGAGAGAGGGAACACAAGCAGGGGGAGTGGGAGAGGGAGAAGCAGGCTTCCCGTTGAGCAGGGAACCCGATGCAGGGCTCGATCCCAGGACCCTGAGATCATGACCTGAGCTGAAGGCAGACGCTTAACAACTGAGCCACCCAGGTGCCCCCCATGCTCAAATTTTTAAAGAGTGCCTCGTAGGTCCAGGTTTTCCTTTAGCCATACCTTTCATAATTTTGTAATTCTGCTCTGTTCCTTCTTGACCTTGTCTTTTTCAGACAAAAGAGTCCCAATAAATATGATAGGACAGTCCCCTAAACAAATCCTAACACTTCGGATAATGTTCCTCTTAGCTGTTTTGATTTTATCATAGTTCTTTTATTTATCATTAATTTAATTGAATATTATTTGGTTAACTAGACAGTGGTTTAGTGGAAAAAGCATTACCACTGGAACTTAAGACCAACATTTCAACTAGTCCCCTCTTTGTGTCCCTTACATCTATAAAAATGGAAGCCATTTTACCTCTTGCCTCCCTGGACAGTTTCAAGAAAAAAAGGTAAAATAGGTACAAAATTGCTTTAAAAGATGGTTTTGGGGGTGCCTGGGTGGCACAGTCGGTTAAGTGTCCCAAGTCTTTAGTTTCAGCTCAGGTCGTGATCTCAGGGTCGTGGGCTCGAGCCCCGTGTCAGGCTCTGCACTGAATGCAGAGACACTCTCCCTCTCCCTCTGCCCCTCCCCTCTGTACACACTCTCTCTCTCAAAAATAAATAAAAACAAATCTTAAAAAAAAAAAAAGACTTTCAAATAGTGTTCTATAAGTATAAATATCAGCAAATCTGAGCTTAGAATTACCACATAACTTGTCCTGTACTTAAACTGCTTACCAATGACTATGGACATGCATGTCCTTGAGAAAAGCATGGAAATTGATTCAAATCCAGCCCTGCTACTCAGTGACTAGCCAGTTCATTTCTTTTAACTTCAACTTCATTGTCAAAGTGGAGGAATTTATGATGGTCAATATGGTGCTTTGAGGCTCTGAAGTTATCTCGAGATTAAAGTTGTGAAAAATGTAAAAATAGTAGATGAAATCAGAAATGGCCAATCTTGGGGCTCCTTGGTGGCTCAGTCAGTTAAGCGTTGGACTCTTGATTTTGGCTCAGGTCATGAACCCAGGGTTGTGAGATGAAGGTTCTCTCCCTCTGCACACCTCACCCTCCACTGTGTTTGTCTGTGTGTGTGTGTGTGTCTGTCTTCCCCCCCCCCCCCCAAAAAAAAAGCCAGTCTTAGGAGTCTGGCTGGCTTAGTCGGTAGAGCATGCAACTCTTGATCCTCGGGGTTGTGAGTTCGAGCCCCATGTTGGGTGTAGAGATTAAAAATCTTAAAAAAAAAAAAAAGGCCAGTCTTAAGACTAAATTATATAAGTTGAGAAGATGTAAAAACAAGTTGCCTCCTCACATATACAAATACATGGATATCCCCACCCTTCCTAGAATAAGTTCTGTGCAGAAAATTAGTCAAGAGGGAGTGGTTATTTGAGCAGAAGGCTGAAGGATGAGATAGTAAGACAAGGGGAAGGAGCATTCCTGAAATTGAGGAAATAGCCATTGTAATGTCTCGGGGTGGATGTTCCCACTTTAGAATGAAGCCCATATGGCTCAAACTTTGAGTTAGGCAGAGGCCTGCTTATGTATGGTCTCGTGATGGGAGTAAACAGGACAGTAACATGATTTAAGACAAGATTACTTGAGCTGGGGGCACATGGGTGGCTCAATCGTTAAGCATCTGCTTTAGGCTCAGGTCATGATCCCAGGGTCTTGGGATCAAGCCCTGCATCAGGCTCCCTGCTCCGCGGGAAGCCTGCTTTTCCCTCTCCCACTCCCCCTGCTTGTGTACCCTCTCTCGCTGTGTCTCTCTCTGTCAAAGAAAATCTTAAAAAAAAAAAAGATTACTTGAGCTGTTCTGTGAGAATGGATAATGTAGGGATGGATGGGTGATGGATGGGGAAGCCAGTTAAGGACCACCTGTAATAGTTCAGGATAACGATGATGGCAGGCTAGAGTGGTAGCAGTGGAGGGACTAAGAAGTGGCTGGTTGTAAGATAACATTTTGAAGTTGAGCTAACGGGACTTATTGATGGATTGGCTATCATTTTAAGAGCTCAGTAAACAGTATGGACTTAAGTGAAAGGCTTTGGGTTCAAATATCCACAGTGTCTTTTGTTAACAGCGTGACTTCACCAGGATTCACTTTCCTCATTTGTAAGGTAGGCATGAAATAATGGCACCCACCTCACAGGTTAGTTGCAAAATAAAATGAATCCATAAAAACTCTTAGCCTAATCAGTGTTTATTATTATCACCATTGCTGTATTATTTTCCACACATGATTAGTGTCAAGATCAGTCTCCCAGCTTCCAGCCTTACTGTCTCCATCCTCTTCAGATTGCTGTTTCAGAAATACGGATTTCATGGCACTGTCCTGAAAATCCTCAGTGGCTCTCCATTTTGATAAAGCCAAAAGTATTGGAATAGTATATTTGACTCCTTTTCTATCTCTGTCACCACTTCAACCCACCTCTCACTTAATCTTTTGGTTCCAAGGAGATGTTTGCAGTTCTTTAAGCAGGTAACAGTCCTTATTTCTTTCTTACCTGTGCCTTTCTCATGCTTTTCTCTCTGCCTGAAATGACCTTTTGTGTTGTTCTTAACCAGCATCAGAATTCTGAAGGATTGTTTCACAGTCTCCTAGCTTCCAGTATTTTTTTTAAGATTTTACTTATTTGAAAGAGCATGCTCGAGTGCACGGGGGGGGGGGGGGGGGGGGCGGCGCACTGAGGGGGGAGGGACAGAGGGAGAAGTGGACTCCCTGCTGAGCAGGGAGGCCAATATGGGGCTTGATCCCAGGACCCTGAGATCATGACCTGAGCCAAAGGCAGATTCTTAACTGACTGAGCCACCCAGGTGCCCCCATCCACCTCCCCAGTATTGTTGAGATTCTTATTCCTAATTCTTTTTCATTTTTTCTCTGGAAATGTAGGATTCTCTTTGCCAGTGTACTGAAATGTTACAGTATGTGCCTTAGCATGGGGCTGTTTTCCACTGTTCTGGGTACTTGGTGGGTCCTTTCAATCTGGAAAGTCAAGCTCTTCAATTCTGGGAAATTTTCTTGAATTATTTTTTATTTGAGAGAGCGCGTGCACGAGTGTGCAATTGGAGGGCAGAAAGAAAATCTTCAAGCTGACTCCTGGCTGAGCACAAAGCCCTGTGCTGGGCAGGGTCTCAGGGCCCATGAGATCACCACCTGCCCTGAAACCAAGAGTAGGATGCTCAACCAATTGAGCCATCCAGGCGGCCCCTCTTGAATTGTTTAATAACTTCCTACCTTCAATATTCTCTTTTCTCCAGATCTTTTTAAAAAAAATGTTAGACTTCATTGACCTTTCTCGTCTTTCCTTGTCCTTTTTTTTTTTTTTCTTTGCTCTTTGGAAGATTCCTTTAATTTTACTTTCTAATCCATAGTAATTTTCTCTGTAATTTTCATTCTGGTGTAATTTTAATTTGTATAAGCTTATTTTTTCTCTATATTTGAGTGTATTGGAATGTATACATTCGAAGAAAAACTAACACATACCTATCCTTGTTTCTTGGATGCAATGTCTTACCTTTATGAAGATGATAGTGGTAATTTTCATTTGCCTACATAGTCTATCCCCTTCAAGTTGCTTTTTACCCTACTTTTTATTTAGGCATAAATGTATATATACATAATTATAACCAGAACAAAATACTGAGTGAATGAAAAGAAAATTACAGAGTATGTGGAATTACAACCATTTCCCCAAATATTTAAAGGATTTCCTCCTGTGCTGGAAGTAAAACTATGTCAATTTACAGTAGTCAGTGTTTTAAACCTAGGACATAGTTTTGAGTGAAGTTTGCTGGCTGGAATGAGGTATGAAGTGACTTTACATGGACTGGGGCATGTGATGCTGACAAAGCAAACTAAGGTTTACTCAAGTTCAAATCTGTGCCTATAAAGGTGCAAATTTAGCATTCTCTGGCATTGGCAATGGAAATAATAAAAATATAGTCAGTCATATTTGCAGAAGTTTTACCGCTATCAGTGTTTTTACCACTGTCAGTGGCTGCTAAAGGACGTAGATCTAATTTAAGTGCAAAGGGAAGGAAAATAACATTGAGTTCCTATTATGTACCAGACATTAATCTGAAATTGTAAAAGTAAAATACATTCCCCCAACAATCTCTACTGTTTTATTCATCTGAATTGTATTACGTCTTATTTGCCTTTGTATCCCAGTGCCCCGTACGGTGTCTCATAACCACCACTCCGAAGATGTTGAATGCATACAAAGGAAGAGGGAATCTTGTCTTTCATTTACTCTTCTATGTAAAGGGAAGGAGCTAAGTCTGGGTTGCATTTTAGATATTCCGAACGTTTAATTCTATTTCTATAATTAAGTTGGAGTAGTTATCAATTTATCTTGCGGGTAGTGTAACAATCCAGAACAGTAACGGCGTTTTAACTCTGGGAAACGGGTCCTCTGCGGGAGAGCATGGGCTGTGTGAGGCCTATCGGCGAGGTAGCAAGTCGAGGGCCAGCCAATCATCCGCAGAGGCTGTGGTCCCGCCCCCGGCGGTCAGCCTCTCACCAGTGGGGGCTGAGGCGGGGCGACACGCCCCGATCTCGGCACCTGCGGCGTCGGCGGTAGATTGTGCAGTGGTCACGTCCGCGGCGCCGAGTGGCGTCTGGGACCCAGGTGAGTACCTGCCGGCCAGGAGTAAATTACATCTCCCATCGCAGTTCCCTTCGGGAGCTGGGGTGAAAAGCGGGCCCCGAGAAGCAAATGCACGGTCGGATTCGACTGCGGAAGCCGGTTATGGGATGGAGAAACTGGGGGCTTTAGTTTACTGTGGCGGAGGGTGGCGGATGTTGGGACAGGGTCGCAACACGGGGGTTGCCGGGGTCTGCCGGCGGCCTCTAGTCCTGGAGACCAAAGCCGGGGAGTGGGGAGCAATTTCAGAGGGTCCTAAAGTGCCCCCTGACCGTTGGGTTGACGGTAGAGCTCCGGGTTCCTGGCCGGCCCCTGACCCCTGCCGTTCTCGGCCGCGCTGTACACAGAAACCGTTGCTACGGCTGAGGGAGCCCTTTCCTTTCGATCTCCGCCTGCAGGGGGCGCTGGACCCTGTGCTTGTGGAGAGAACGTGCCTGGGGGAGGAAAACAGGTTTTCGTGTTACTTAACCATCTCAGTTTGCGCTGGAGGTATTTCTGTCAGCTGATTAGGGAATATGGGAAATGGATGTGGATCAGGATGACGGAGAAGAGATTAAATCCAACTAGAATCAAGGATTTTCCTAATCAAAGAAATTCCAACCGGATGTGGGAGTGTTCTAATGAGAGCAAATAAACTGTTGTATGATTTGTTTTTTGGAACGTGAGAGTTAACATTTAGTAGTCTTGAAATGTTCATCCCACCGGGGGGGGGGGGACCCCAAACAAATATAAAGTTTTCAAAAAGGATTTTCAGAGAAATGTTAAACCAGTGTGCAGAATGAAATTAATTTGATTAGATAAGAGATGGCTCTGTCATTTAAAATGTTTTTCACTGTATTTTATTCAAATCGTGAAATCTCAGGGGTTGCAAGACAAATTCGAGATCATCCATTTTAATCCTGCTGGATGCTTAAGTTTCTCCCATCAAAGATCTGCCAAGTCTTTAGAAAAATTCTCCTAATGTAACCCATTCTGTTCTGGGCAGCATCAATAATTTAAAAGTCCTTCAAGTTGCTTTCCAGTAACTTCCACTCTTAAGGCTATCCTTGTGATGAATGTATCATCATCCTGGGCCCTGCCAGTATAGGGCGAAAACCATCTCATTTTTCAGCTGGATCTCATCGGAAAGCCGATGAACTGTCTTCTGTGTTCTTTGCCCCAGTCAAAGCCAGCAGGAATATGGAGAAGTTGACAGAGCCTTCTCTTCTTTTGCAGAGGTCTGATGTACGACCAGACTCCCAGAGGGCAGGCATGCTGAAGGAGATACTTTTGGTCAATTAGACCCATTGCTACTTTTTGTTTTAAAATTTATAACCCAATGTGTTTTACTGTAGTGGTTTTTAAAACACTTTGACAATGACTCACGATGAGAAATATATTTTGCAACATGTGCATTTATGTTCACACTTGTCATTTGTATAGACACGAAATAAAAGTTTTTACAAAACAGTATTCACTTTAATGGTA